GGTTATAAAATAGTCATGGGGAGGTAAAGTACAGCATAAGGAATATAGTTAATAATATTGTAATAACTAAGTATGGTGTTGGATGGGTACTAGATTTACTGGGGATCACCTCATAAGTTATATAAATGTCTAATCACTACGCTGTATACCTGAAATTAATATTTTATGTACACTGTAACTGAAAATGTTTTTTAAGTGTTGAAAAAAGAAAGTGAAATAATTCCTTTTAAAATAAATTTAATTGAGAAAAATAGAGATAAAGAGCAGAGTGATGATAAATTTTGAAGATGGTATGCAAATAACTAAAATTTGAGAAGTATTGCCCCCCAAACAATAAAAGTTAGTTCATTACCGACATCCTTGTTTCTTGATTTCTGTCACCCTTGAAAGCAGAATCTTTCCTAAAACAAAATAGCAAATTAATGAAACTGTACCCCCATCACCTTCTCCTTCCCTCACTTCACAGCCCTAACTTTTTTTTCTTCATGTGCCCTTTATCTGATGTGAGCACATGGGAAGTACCCCATCCAGCAGACAAAGGTCTTACTTTAAATCCATTTCAAAAGATCCTGTGCCTGACAACTGATTATTTAAAACAATTCAAATCTTTGTTGAACCCATCTCGGTCAGGCACACAAAGAGGAGGAAGGCAGGGTGAGATCCAGGAAGCAGCAAAAATAATGCTGTAAGTATTTTTTAGGGTGTCAGATGGACACATGTCTTGTTAGGGAGATCACTTCATGAACGGTGTAGAGGCCTGACCACTGCACTGTACATCTGAAGCTGCCATTGAATAATACTGTATGTCAACTATAATTTAATATGTATAGAATCACGGGATGTGGAGTACAGTGTGGGGAGTGGAGTTAATGGAATTGTAATAGATATGTATATCAGAGGTGGGGGGCGGTGGATTGGGGGAGGGGGCTGTCACTTTGTGAGGGGTGAGAAGTGTAACTATTGCATTGTTTTGTACACCTGAAACTAATAAACAAATAAATAAATGAAACAATGAGCTGTGGCAAAGCTGCAAAGCAGTGCTTCCTGTCTGTCTCTACCTTAGAAGCCACTGGGGTGCTACAAGATAGCTTCCCTGGTGGGCAGTGATGTTAGGCATCTATCTTCTCATGTATCTGTTGGCCATTTGTATGTCTTCTTTGAATAAATGTCTATTTAAATCCTTTCTGCATTTTTTTAATAAGGTGATTTTTTTTTTTTTGCTGCTGAATTGTAGGAGTTCCTTATATATTTTGGGTATTGACCCCTTTTTATGGTTTGTTATTTTTAAAAACATAATCTAAGTGTTGGTGAACATGTGGAGAAACTGGAACCCTTGCACACTGTTCATAGGAATGTAAAATGGTGTAGCTGCTATACAAAAGAGTATGGCAGTTCTTCAAAAATTTAAAAATAGAACTACTATATGATACAGTAATCCCATATAGCCAATGGAATTCAAATCAGGATCTGGAAGGGAAACCTTCACTTCCATGTTCATTGCAGCATTATTTACAATAGCCCAGATATGGAAACAATTTAAATGTCCATTGGTGGATGAATGGATAAACAAAATGTGGCATATACATACAAAGAAATACTAGTCAGCCTTAAAAAGGAAGGAAATCCTATAATACAAAACAACATGGATGAGCTTGGATGACATCATGCTAAGTGAAATATGCCAGTCACAGAAGGACAAATACTGCGTGATTCCACTTATATAAGGCATCTAAAATAGTCAAACTCATAGAATGGGAGAAGAGAATGGTGATTTCCAGGCATGGAAGGGAGGAGGAAACATGTTTTTGTTATTCAACATGTATAAAGCTTCAATTATGCAAGATAAACAAGTTCTGGAGATTTGTTGTATAACACTGTGCCTATTGTTAACAATACTATATTGTGCACTTAAAATTTTGTTAAGAGAGTACAGCTCATGTTAAGAGTTCTTATCACAATAAAAAAAGAGAATGAAACAGCTAATGCACCTCTATTTCCAGGCAACCATTGACCCACTTTCTGTCTCTATAGATTAGTTTGCATTTTCTAGTATTTTATGTAAATGAAATCATACAATATGTAGTCTTTTTTTTTTTTTGGTCTGACTTCTTTCACTTGGCATTATTATTTGGAGATTCATGCATGTCGTATACATTAATAGTTAATTCTTTTTTATTTCTGAGTGGCATTCCACTGTATGGATATAACAAAATTTGTTTATCCATTCATCTATTGGTGGACATTTGGGTTGTTTCCAGTTTGGGACTGTTACAAACAAAGTTAACTAAAAACATTAATGTACATCCCTTTGTATGGACATATGCTATCATTTCTCTTGAGTAAATACCTATGATAAGAATAGCTGGTCCATAATAGGTGTATATTTAACATTTTAGAAATCTACCAGCAGTGTATTAGAGTTCCAGTTGCTCCAAATTCTCACCAACACTTGGTACAGTCTAATTTTAGAAATTCTAATAAAGATGGTAAATTTTGTTATATGTATTTTACCACAATTTTTTAAATATAATCATACATTTAAAAATTTACTCACTAGTTCTAGAGGTCTTTTTGTAGATTCCACTGAATTTTCTACTTAGATGATCATACCACCTACAAATACAGTTTTTCTTCTCTCTTTCTGATCTAAATGCTTTTTAGTTCTTTTTCTTGCTTTATTGCTCTGGCTAGACCCTCAACTACAATGTCAAATTGAAGTATTGGAGTAGATATTCTTGCCTTCATACCTGATCCTAAAGAAAGTAATTCAGTCTTTCATCACTAAGTACATTATTACCAGGTTTTTCATAGATGCCCTTTAATAAATTGAGAAAGTTCCTTTTTATACCTAACTTCCTGAGCATTTTTAATCAGGAACAGATATTGAATTTTGTCAAATATTTTTTCTGTATCGACTAGGATCATATTTTTATTTTTGTTTCCTAACATAATAAATTACCTGATTTTTTTACTGTTAAATCAAACTTTCAGTCCCAGAATAATTATTTTTATATTGTTGTATTTGATTTGCTAAAATTTTGTTAAGTGTTTTACATCCATGTTCATAAGGGCTATAGGCCTATAATTTTCTTATAATATCTCTATCCAGTTTTGATATTGGGGTAATGCCAGTCTCATGGAATCAGTTCATAAGTATTTCCTCCTCTTCGATTTTCTGGAAGGTTTATGTAGCACTGGTATTATATTTTTCTAACATGTTTGGTAGAATTTATCAGTGAATCCATGTAAGTCTGGAGTTTTCTGATTGGGAAGGTTTTTAACAATAAATTCCATTTCTTTAAAAGATATGGGGCTATCCAGGTTATCTGTTTTTTTCTTGAGTGTGTTTTGATAGTGGGGGTGAAGAAGGGCAGGAGGATGGGATTTTTCAAAGGGGCAGAAGGAAATTCTTGGTGATGATGGATATGGTCATTACTTGCCTGTAGTGATGGTTCCTGGGTATAGACATATGTCAAAACTCATCTAATTATACACTTTTAAAATGTACAATTTATTTCATTACAATTATATCTCAAAGCTATAAAAAGAAATCACTTGTCCTAGGACCTGTTCTTCAGAGGCCTACATGGAAAAGTGGCAAATAAATTAATGCCAGTGATATATGTTTTCTGGCTGGGAATATTCAGTGTTTTGCTGCAGAAAAATATATCACCAAAGATAACACTGGAGGTATAATAGTAAAGACCCATAGATCAGAACATTGCAGCACTGCTCAAATCATTTTACAGAAAACTACACACAATGCTCTTCTTGTGTGGAGCGTGGCCAGATGCAAGAAAGGGGGAACCTGGACAGTTGACTTGTACATTAACTAGTCACATTACAAGCAATCTACATGATTTTTTAGTGTTGAAAATCACTTACCTGGATGTGTCATTTAATTGAGGAACCAGCATTTTTACTGATGGTTCTTGTAAATCTGAAGAATGCTCATGTTCTGAAGTAACTTCTAATGGTGAAAATTAAAAACAAAAATTGTTAAGCTTCTCAACTAAATATTTACATGTAAATATACCACTCAAGTCTTTTTGATGATAGATTTTGAAATCTGACCTTGTCGTGTATCACTCAGTTTCAGTTTTTCAGGTGAACTATCAGCTGTCTTTGTCTGCTGCAGAAAAAATATGTATTTAATTATGGTGCCTTTGAAACCCTCTTTTGAAATTTATTTGGAGCCACTTTACAGCTCCAAAGAACCACATTTCCACTGAATAGTAAGATATTAAGCTCTTTGTTTATTTGACTTGGCTCCAAATGACTGTTGGCTGTTTCAAAAAATTGACATCCACCCTCAGGAGAATATTTGCTACTATCAAAGACAGTGTCCCAGAGTTACTAAAGGAAACATCCAAGGAAAACTTACTAAAATGTTTTCAATAGCATCAGAATTGTTGGGATACACATAAAGCTACCCAAGGACACCAACCATCTGGAGGAATAATCTTTGGTATGTTTAAAAAAAAATCATTACACTATCATCACACTTCTGTATAATGTGTCCAGGTAATCAAATATAAGAAAAGGAAAAAGGGGCAGAATACCTATATATGCTAGGCAGTATGTTAGGCGCCATACATACATTGTTTTTAATCCTAAGAGGTGCACATTGTGACAAAGCTATTACCTCTCTTTTATAGATAAGTTTCAGGGTCAGTGATGTTAAGTAATACAACCAATTCTTACAGGTAGTAAGTAAAAAGCAGGTCTGACTCCAAAAATTGGGGTCCTTTCCCTCCATCTAAGTCTCCAGATCCCAAATGAGAGAACAAGGCAGAGCCAGCCAAGTCACACATTCCATGGGAGAGCCAAGTTGAGAGAAAGGAGAGATCGCATAAATACAGCAGGCAAAAAGAATCTAAAGGAGGGGGATAGTCAAAAAAGAGACAGATGGTTGTCCTGGAGAAAAAGAACTACAAGCCAGGAGAGGCGGCTTCCACCTGACACAGTCCAGAATCTTGTCCCCCGGTCCCCTCACTCACCGCAAGCTCAGACTGGTCATTTACCGGGAGAGTTATTAGGCAGTGGTCATCTTCAGCACTCATTAACTCCACCAGCTCGGTGGATTCTTCTGCCTGGCCTGTACACATGAAGAAAAGAGCACTGAAAAGTGATAACAATATCCACGCACAATAGCAGGCACACTCTCCAGTTGCTCTTCGTGGGACCCACAGGACAGAGACATCACCACCTTTTGGCAAGACTGCTAAATTAGGTCAGGTCTCAAATCAAACTGGAAATCTAAAGTGGTATTGGAAAACTCATAAGGGGTACACGATCTGTATAGGGCCAGCTTTATAGGTAGACGGGCCCCTCCACAGCCCTGTTTCCTGCCACCCACATCATTTTTTTCTCCTTTATCATTTCCAACTGACCCACAAGAGAGACTGTATTGGGTGGGGAAAATGATTCAAGGCTATTTGCAGGTTTTCTTTCTGAAAAGGTATAATGATACATGTATGACTCTTATACGATCATAGATTTTCAGTGACCTCTTCCAAGTAAGGTTTTATCATTATTTTCATAGGGAATTCAGAGTAAGAAATTTTGTTATTTCCCAATATACCTGTCTCTCTTTTGCGGCTGATAGGAGGAATCTCAGTGTCTTCTTTTTCATACTCGTCAAGGTCTGAGATTTTGGTCTGGTTGGGTAACATCTGAAATGCAAGCCAGCTCACATGACTTTTAAAACCAGTTATCTTTTTTAAATTTTTAAGGAAACCTTAAAGCTCAGAAATAGCACATTGATAAATCAGAAGTGTGTCCTCTTTTGAAGGATCATTTCACTGTTTCCAGCTTGTTAATCTATATCCTTCCTCCAAGACCAGCTCTGGCTGACCACTTCCCTGCTCTCGGCCATTCCCATCCTGGAGTCTTCACAGCCTTTCCTTCCTCTGTCCCAAGTCTGAGCTCTTGTAACTTCTATTCCTGCTTTTCTCAGGGACTAAACCTCTTGGAATGGGTCTGCAGTGAGTTCCCAACTGTAGGCACTCACCATACCCACCCCTTCTTCACAGGGTCTCATGGTCCAGGAACTGTAGCTTAACAGCGTGCGAAGCCCAGTTTTCTCCCGAAACATTTTATTCACTTTGTGAAATGTGGAGACACATATAATTCTGATGTTTTCCACAAGTAAAGGCAAACCTATAGCATCAGGCCAACTCATATAATATGATAAGTTTTTTTATTGATTGATTCTACTTTTATTTCTCATCCTTATCCATAAAATGGTCTTCTCATGGGTAAGTCTTTGGAAGGTATATTTGCAGAGCACTTTAACATGTATAGAATGTTTTTATATACCACTCAAAGCCAAAAGGAAACCAGGCCAATACATCCTCCCTCAGGTCTCCAAATCGTAATTCAACCCATTGGCCAGTGGTTTATGTATTTTTGTCACAGATTTCTTTGCCCTGCCTACTGTCTGTGATAGAGAAAGGCTTCTTGTTCTTGTATATAAATGGGAAAGTCTCAGTAAGACGGAGACCATAGCCGTCTATACAAAGCTCAGACCATTTCCACAAGATAAGACCAGTAGTAGACAGAACTGTTGGAAAACTCCCAAAGACATCCTATTCCTAGTGATTTCCCTCATCCTCAAGGAGCTGAGAGATAAGCAAGGGCCAAGGAGTCCATGGCGAGTATCCTCAGAGCTTCTGGAAGAGTGTGGTGAGGAGGTGATATTACCCTAGAAAAATTTTCAGCTGTTCAAAATAAATAAAATAAAGCCTTTCAAGGCACAAAGAGGCTTTGTATCCTACATAGTTAAGACAGTAATGCATGAAAAGGATTAGAACTCAGAACTCTCAACTCTTATTAAATGGCAAGCAAAAGATCAATCCTTCTGCTTGATCAGATGTTCACCTCAAAATCCAACAAAGAGTTCTGGTTCAAGATGGCAAGGTAGGAAGATTCTGAACTCACCTCCTCCCACACACACCAATCTTCAGCTGTATAAAGTACAATTTCCTCGGGAAAAAAACCCTAAATCTAGCTGAATGATTCCTACACATCAGATGAATAAGAAAAAACTCACATTGATGCAGGCAGATGTTGAAACACAATCGGACCATAAACCCCACCACCAGCATGGCAACCCACAATGGGGAAGAAACTCAGAATCCCAAATTTCTCCCTGAGGAGCAAAGGATTTGAACCCCACATCTGGTACTCCAACTTTTAAGACCTGCACCTGAGAGATAAGCTCCCAGAAATCTAGCTTTGAAAGCCAGCAGGGCTTGCATCGATGAGACCCACAAGGCTATAACAAACTGAGAAACAGCTCTTAAAGGACTTGTACATGCAGACTCACCTGCCCCAGGACCCAGCATGGAGGCAACCAACCGGAAAGTGCACAGACTCTCGGTGAAACAGGTTTATGTGCTTATCTTAAAGCATCAATCTCAGGAGCAGGCATATAATTGAACACATATCTAGGAGCCTACCAAAATACTCTCTGGGGAGAGAGGCCAGAAAGCACCATCTTTACACTCTCGCTTTACCGTCTCTAGCTTGCCAATGTCTCCTGGAAGGGAGCTTGTATTCTCATCTTGTGCCCTGGTTTTTGTAGCTGCCGCACAGGGGATACCTCTAAGTTGCCTGGCTCTGGTGGCCAGCGGGACGTAAACTCACAGGTCCCTCAGGATTGTAACCAATGAAGAAAGAATTCTTAACCAGCTATGATCCTCAGGACACAGCAGAGACACAGCACTGAGCTGTCCTGCCTTCCTGTGAAAGTGACCTATTTGCTTATCTTCATAGCTGCTGCCTGAGAGCTGTTGTATGCTTCTAATTAAACACACATCTCAGGGCCGACTATACACCTCTCCAGAGACCTTGGAGGACAGGTGCTATCTTCGCAGTATCCCTCTTCTGTGCCCCAGAGCACCAGGATCTCCCAGAGGGCAGCTTGTGCATGCATCTGGTGCCCCAGTTTTGGTGGCTACCACCCAGGTACACCCTTTGATTGCCTGGTTGGTGGCCCTCAGGGCTTCCATTTCTGTGCTCCATAGGACTGTAACAACTTGAGTTCTTGGCTGGCTACCACCCCCAGGGCACAGCACACACAGCAGACTACAACATACCCCCAGTCTTTCTTTCAAAAGGGCCTATTTGCATCTCCTAAAGCTCTGGCCAGAGGGGCAGATTTCTGGTTGGGCACATGTCTAGGGGCTACTCCAAAACAAAGGGCAGTGGATGCCAATTTTGTACTCACCCTCTGCCTCACTATAGCTCATCAGTATCTCCCCAAAAGGAGTTCATACCATCACTTGGCACCCCAATTTTTGTGGCTGCCAGCCAGGGTATACCTCTAGATCACCTGGCTCTAGTGGACAGTGGGGTTTGCGCTCACAATACCACAGGACTATATATATTTGCATATTTAAAAGCTGATGCCAGGCCAGCCAAGTGGCGTGTTGGTTAAGAGCTGGCTTGGGAAGCCAGCTCTGAGCAGTGGGACCCCGGTTCGGATCCCACATGACACTGCCCTCTACAGCTAAGATGGTGAGCAGCAGCTCAACCTGGAGCTGGGCTGCCGTGAGTCGCCGGCGACAGTGGAGGCTGCAGCCCCTGCTGCAGTGGGCTGCCATAAGCTACCATGTGTGGCCAGCAGCCAGCATGAGCAGCCGGCAGCCGATGTGAGCTGCCAAGAGCTGCCATGAGCGGCCGTCCAGAGGCCGGCGACTGATCTGCCTCGCCCGGGAAGAGCGCAATGATAATACCAACATGGGCCAGTGAAGCGACGTCCTCCACAGCTAGACTGAAAAACAAAAGGACAGCAACTTGTCTGTTCCCCCTTCCCCCAATTCCCCAGCACTATTCGCCTCCCCCAATTCCCCAATAAAATCTTTAAAAAAAAAAAAAAAAGCTGATGCCTGATGGTCTGGTTTCCAATCAGCCTGAATCTAAGTGCTGACTGAGATCCACCTCCCCTTTGGGACACTGACAGCTCTTGGCATAACCTCAAATACTGGGAGCCACTAAAAGTAAAAGAAGCTGCTCAGATGGTCACAAAGGATTGAGAGACAACCAAGAGCTAGGACAAGGTTGAACAATAAGTTTCATCTCCTTATGAAGCCACTCCTTCAGCTAGAGAGAGGTGGCTGTTTTATCTAACGCATAGAAACCAACACAGAGAGTCAAGGAAAATGAAGAAACAAAGGAATAGCTTCCAAATGAAAACAAAATAAACCTCAGAAAAAGACCTTAATGAAAAGGAGATAAATGATTTTCCTGATAAACAGTTCAAAATAATACTCATAAAAATGCTCACCAAACTTGGGGAAATAATGGGTGAACACAGTGAGAACTTCAACAGCGACATAGGAAAAATAAGGAAGTACCAAATAGAAGTCTCAGAACTTAAGGACACAATAACTAAACTAACACACACACACACACACACACACACACACACACACACACACACACACACACATTACAGGGGTTCAGCTGCAGACTAGATGAAACACAAGAAAGGAACAGTGATCTTGAAGACAGGGCAGGGCAGTAGAACTCAATCAGAGCAGCAAAATGAAAAAAGTGAGGCTAGTGTAAGTGACTTACGGAACAGCATCATGTGAACAAACATTCATATTACAGGCGTCCCAGAAGGAGAAGAAAGAAAGGTGGGGCAGAAAGCTTATTTGAAGAAATAACAGCTGAAAACCTCCCTAACCTGCATGAGGAAACAGACATCCAGATCTAGGAAGCCTGAAGAGGATTGAAAAAGGAACACAAAGAGAGTCACACCGAGACACATTATAATTCAAGTGTCAAAAGCTAAAAACAAGAATAAAATTTTTAAAGAGCAAGGGAAAAACTTGTTACATACCAGAGAAACCTCATAAGACTATCAGTTTTCTCAACAAAAACTTTGCAGGCTAAAGGTGTGACACAATATATTTAAAGTGCTGAATTTAAATACTTCCATCCAAGAATACCCTTCCCCTCACCACCCCCCGCCAGCAAAGCTGTTATTCAGAATTGGACAGACAGTGTTCCAGACAAGCAAAAGCTAAAGGGGTTCATCACTACTAAACAGTCCTTACAAAAAATGTTGAAGGCACTTCTCTAAGCTTAAATGAAATGATGCTGATTAGTAACAGGAAAACATAGGAAACTATAAATTTCACTGGTAAAGGTAAATATATAGTAAAATTCAGAATAATCTTAATATTGTAAAGGTAGTGAGTTAATTTCTTATAAAGCTAGTATGAAAGTTAAAAAACAAAAATTGTAAAAATAACTATTACTACAATACTTTAAGGGATACTTAAGCTAAAGAGATGTAAATTGTAACATCAAAAAAAATTAAATGTGAAGGGAAAGTAAAAATGTAGAGCTTTAGGATGTAATCCAACTGAAATTCTTATCAACTTAAAAATAGACTCTTATTAGTTGTTTTGTGTAAGTCTCATGGTAACCACAAAACAAAAGCCTATAGGAGATACAAAAAAAGGAAGAAAAAGGAATCTAACCATATCACTACAGGAAATCATAAAATCACACAGAAATAGAGCAACGGAAGAAGAAAGGAACAGCGGAAGTACAAAACAACTAGAAAACAATTAACAAAATGGTGATTAGTATATACTTATCTATAATTATTTTAGATGTAAATGAATTCAATTCTCCAATCAAAAGACACAGAGGGGGTCGGCTGAGTAGCTCAGTTGGTTAAGAGCTTGCTCAAGAGTGCGAGCTCTGAGCAACAGCGGTTCAAATCCCGGCCTGAGCTGAGAAGCCGCTGAGCTGCCAACAGGTGACAGAATGGCTCAGCTAAAAAAAAAAAAGACACAGAGGGCTAAATGGGGGGAAAAAAACAAAAAAGACCCATCTATATGCTGCCAGATATAAGGACGCACATAGACTAGAAGTGAAGGGATGGGAAATATATTCCATGCAAATGGAAACCATAAGAAAGCTGGGGTAGCTATACTTATATCAGACAAAATAGGTTTTAAGACAAAGACTGTAATAAGAGACAAAGAAGATTATTACATTAATGATAAAGGGGTCAATCCAGCAATAGAAGATTTATAAATATTTATGCAATTAACATAAGAGTATCTACAAATGTTAACAGATCTAAAGGGAGAAATAGACAGAAATTGCATATTTGAAAGTTGCTAAGAGAGTACATTAAAAGTTCTCATCGTGAGAAAAAAGAATTGTTAAATATGGCAATGGCGGTTAACTAGACTTATTGTGGTGATAATTTTGCTACATATACAAATATCGAATCATTATGTTGTACACCTGAAACTATTACAGTCATGCAGCACTTAATGACAGAGATATGTTCTGATAAATACATTGTTAGGTGATTTTTGTGATTGTGCGAACATCATAGAGTACACTCACACAAACCTAGATATGGTATAACCTATGACACATCTAGGCTGTATGCTCTAGCCTATTGCTCTTAGGCTAGAAGCCTGTACAGCACGTTATGGTACAAAACAACATGACTTTAAAACAAACACAAGAGAAAATGATGCAATCAAAAGGCATAGTAAACACCAGATATATGAGGCTGCTACCAGCAAAACACAGCATACTGTTTTATAGCAAACTTTTTTTATAAGTAAATAATGTACACTCTAAAGTAATGATAAAAATATAGTATAGTAAACACATACGTCAATAACATAGTTGTTTATTCTCATTATCAGTATTACGTACTGCACATAATTTTATGTGCTATACTTTTATACAACTGGCTGTGCAGGTTTGTTTACACCAGCATCACCAACACGTAATGCCTTGTGCTACATTATGAGGGCTGTAATATTACTAGGTGATGGGAATTTTTCAGCTCCATTATAATCTCATGGACCACAGTCTGTCATTGACTGAAACGTTGTTATGCAGCACATGACTGTATAATGTTATATATCAATTATATTTCAATTTTTAAAAATCCAACATGGAAATTTAAGAGATATGAAAACATCCTAAAACACAGTCAAATAATTAAAAAGAATTAAACCTGCCATCTGTTTGTCTTCTCCAAAAGTTTCAATGGAGGCTTGTGATATGTTGAATTGCAAATCAAAATGGATTTCTATTTTCCTCACTTCTTTGTTTCTGATATTAACAGGCTTCAAGTGAATGATGAACATCTTCTTCGTCTCAGTTTCTAGCAAACAATAAAATATACCAATGCATATCAACATGCTGAAAATTTTCACTTTAAAATTTCATAATTTTAAATAACTGCACTATGATATTTGTCAACTGTCCAGGTATTTCTGCAATGAAAACTTGAAAAAAAATTAAATAAAGTTACTTTGAAGTTATTTTTATTAGATTGTGTGTGTTTATAGGATTAAGTGTTTAGTCTTGCAGAAATAAAGTAACTTAGCAGCATAGCAATGAAAATCATTTTGTCTTCTAAAATTCTGTCTACTTTTCAAAGAGCATTTTGTGACTACAAGCTATCATATGCAACAGGTATTTTACTTTCCAATATATTAAGGACACCATTCATTCTGATTCTTTCTCTCAGATCCCACTCATTTCTGAAATTCAAATTAAAAGTCACTATTCACAATATGCAAGATGGAATAATCTACCTTCATTTAAATGCCCCTTCTTAAAGAAGAAAAATGGAAACATCCTAGAGAGAGGACTGTTTTTCAGACAACAGTCTCATTGTGGAATTTCTTCCAGGATGCCAGCACCGTACTGACAATTAGTAATTGGCTATAGAAGAGAAAATAGCTTAGGACAAAATTCAAGGAGAATCCAATAATAAGCCACAGTAAGCACATGCTGAGTTGGAAGTAGCAGAAAAGAGAGTCAAGTCTATGAAAGTGTAGGCAAAACCAACAGTCACAAATTGATGAGAATGGAAATAGGAAAAAAAGAGTAAGACACATCTATGTCTAGATCTGTGGCTACTAAGTATTTGCAGTAGGGCTAGTACAAACTGAGATGGTGCCATAGCATAAAATACATATCAGCTTGTGAAGACTTGGTACAAAAAAAGAGAAGGCAAAAATATCTCATAAATTTTTCAAATTAATTGCATGTTAAAATGCTACTATTTGGATATACTGAGTTAAATACATGGTTTTAACAAAATTAATCCACTTAGAAAAACTTTTTATGTGGCTACTTGAAAATTTAATATTAAATATGTCACTCACATTATATTTCTTTTTTTAATTTGGTGACATAGGTTAATAAAATTATATAGGTGTTAAGTGTACAATTCTGTAATACGTCATCTACATATTGCAATGTGTGTTCACCACCCAGAGTCAGTTCTCCTTCCATCACCATATATTGATCTTCTTTACCATCTTCTACCTCTTCCCTTCCCCCCTTACCTTCTGGTAACCACTAAACTGTTGTCACATTATATTGGGTTGTCGGAAAAGTCAGGATGCATTTTTGCAATGAAAAACATAGAAAAAATATGTCATAGACTTTTCTGACAACCCAATATTTCTAGAGGACAGTGTTGGCTTAGAGCAAAGCTCGGCAATCCCACCAAATACTGATCTTACTGAACATCTAGTCACTCAAGGAAAAGTCTATGAAACCCTGCAACAAAAGTAATTCAAACATTATCTAAAAAGTAAACAGCTAATGGTCTGTAGGATCCAATGCAGACAGACAAAAGTCAGAAGAAATGACCTGAGGACTGCTTCAAGCACTCAACATACTACTAAAACCTTGCCAACTCCTTAAAAAGAAGGGCTATGCATAAAAAACTAAGATCATGCTTGTCGAGTTTGCTAGACAGTCTTCAGTTTCCTTGGCTATAAAAAAAAGAAAGTAGTAACATCTACCTCCTCCAGATATTGTGAGGCACTTTGTAAATTATGAAGTCTCATAGAAATGTGATATATTAATGAAATACAGAATATTAACTTTGGCGAGTTGGTTCCTGAAAACCACTACAGTAGCAAGGTTTGGAGTTCAGGAACTTAAAATTTGAAAAGCAATTTAGGGGTACCACAGTCAGAAAACCTATGAAAGTCCTTCTAAAACATTGACTTAGAGTAAATACAATGATATTTTATGTATTTTAAATTATTGGGTTGTCGGAAAAGTCATGATGCATGTTGCAACAGGTAGCACTAGTTCATTTTTGGAAGTACTAGAGTCATTCGCATCTGTTATTGCTATGTCATTTCACAGCTGACAGTTCTAGCTTCATTCTAAAAAAAATTAAGGGATTTGGTTGAGTTTTGGAGATTTTATAACAAGTTGACAATGGAAGACCAAACTGTGCATTTTTGTCATATTTTACTGTTTTACTTCCATAAAGGGAAAAACACTCATCAAGCTTGTGAAAAGTTGCATAAAGTTTATGGTGACAATGCTCTACGTCAGTGCCAACGATTGTTCATGAAATTCTGTGCTAGTGATTTTGATCTCAACAATGCTCCTCAGTCAGGGAGGCCCACCGAGATTGATGACAACAAAATAAAGGCATTGATCGAGTCAAACCACATTACACGACACAAGGGATTGCAGAAACACTGAACATCCATCATTCAAGCGTTCCCAATACCTCAAGAAGCTGCGATACATAAGCAAGCTCGGTATTTGGATTCCGCATGAACTCAAAGAAGTTCATTTGACAGCACATATAAACATCTGCAATATGCTCATTAAATGTGAGGAAAACGATCCTTTTTTGAAGCGACTGATAACTGGTAATGAGAAGTGGATTGTTTACAACAATGTGGTGCGCAAACGGTCTTGGTCCCGATGTGATGATTCGCCTCAAACAACATTGAAAGCAGACAGAGAAAGGTTATGCTCTCAGTGTGGTGGGATGTTAAAGGTGTCGTGTTTTTCGAACTCCTACCAAGGAACCAAACAATCAATTTGAATGTGTACTGTCAGCAATTGGACAATTTGAACGAATCCATCATCCAGAAATGTCCAGAGCTTGTTAATTATAAAAGAGTTGTGTTCCATCGTGACAACGCGAGACCACACACACAAGTTTGATCATCCGTCCAAAAATGATTGGAGCTTGGATGGGATGTGTTGCCACACCCACCATACTCGTATGACCTTGCGCCATCAGACTTCCACTTGTTTCGCTCTCTTCAAAACTCCTTGCATGATATAATGTTCAATTCAGATAAGGCTGTAAATCAGCACCTTGTTCAGTTTTTTGCAAATAAAGACAGGTCCTTCTATGAACGAGGAATTATGAAGCTGACTGAAAGATGGCAAAAGGTTATCGAATAAAATGGGCAATACATCATTGATTGATCTTTGTTTTCTACATAAACAAATGACCTTTGAAAAACAGACAAAATACATCATGACTTTTCCGACAACCCAATAATAGTAACAGGTAATGACTATATAAATTAAGTTACTCTTACCTTATATTTATGATTACACTTAATTTACATTTCTAGGGAGGTATTTAGAAATGCCTTTCCTTTACTACAGATAAGAGGTACTCCAAGCTAATGTATGTTATCTTTCCAATTCTGTGACTACTTAACTGTTAACTCTTTCCATCTGTGACACAATAAAAAATACATATTTCGCCTCTCCCCAGGTTCCTGACTCAGACCTCCTAAAACCTTTGTAATTTCCTGAGTGCTAGGGGTGCTAGGAGCATCATTCTTCTAATAGTTGGTCTTTGACCCCTGTTCCTGACACAAGCGCTTCTAAGACCCTTAGAATCCCGGCAGTGATGAGTGTCTTGTATGCTAATGAGGTGACTGGGGCTGGGGGCCTCTACACAGCATCAGAATGGAGGACTGGTCCCCAAAAGACTAAAGCATGATTACAGGGTTGGAACTTTCAGCTCTCCGGGGGGGAGGGGGGGGGCAAAGGGTCAGAGATTGAGTTAATAATTGATCATGGCTACATGGTAAAGCCTCCACAAAAATCTCTAAACTAGGGTTTGGGAGAGCTTCCAGGTTGGTGATCACATCCTTGTGCCAGGAGGGTGGTGTACCCCAATTTCACAGAGATAGAAGCTCCTGCACTCAGGACACCTCTGGATCTCACCCTCTGTACCTCTTCAGCTGGCTGTTCATCTGTATCCTTGATTATATCCTTTATAATAAACTGGTAACTTAAGTGTTTCCCTGAGTTCTGTGAGCCAGGATAGCAAACTATCAAACATGACAAGGAGGCTGTGGGAACCCCAGATTTGTAGCTGGGTGGCCAGAAGTGCAGGTGACCACCTGGGACTTGCAAGTGGGGGGCTGAGCCATCAACCTGTGGGGTCTGCACTAACTCCAAGTAGTTAGTGTCAGAATTGCTTAATGTGAGGGGGAAAGCTACACATTTGGTGTCAGAAGTGTTGCGAGTAAAGGCAACAGTTTTCTTTTACCATCTCTCTCAGTTCTTCCAACTGGAGCCTCCTCACATGCCAACAGATATAGTTCCAAAATCAAGGCTCACTTCTCTTCATCTTTCCCTTCATTCATAGAGTTTCACAGTGAAAGTCTCTCCTCCTCCTCTTCTGCCATTTGCTTTACTACCTAATCTATCCCTGTCCCAAGTGTCCTTCTTTTTCTAATAGGCAACAGGAGAAATTAAAAATTCCTGCACATCAGAACAAATTTTCACAATCACAGAAAAGAACCACATACAGAAAATTGTGGAATGTTTTTAAATGCACAAAAAAGTTACTGGGTGCCTATCTATTGTAGAATCCTTTCTGGGATATCTACACTTTTTATTGTCTTTGAGCTATTTTACAAATTTCTGAATTGTAGAAAACTGATGATAATGAAAACTGATGATAAATTCAAAATAATTGTGTCTGTGGAATGAAATTGTCTACTCTCAAATCTATTTACAAATTTTCTCAGTGCTTATATATGTATAGTTCTCTGAAAACTCTTTGAATTGGTTTTTTACATCTTACTGGTTGCCTCATTAATTAATGAATTAAATAAAGTCTTCAACTCACATTCGTGTAATATTTTCATGAGGGTTATGATTTCACCTTTTCAAAAATTATTGTTTAACAGGACAATGAAGTTAACTTATGTATATAGGAAATCCACCAAGGGAAACTCAGGGCTGAGGAAGGATTACTTTTATCTTAATTGGTTCCATGGGAGAACCTTCAGTTAGAGTTCGAGGCTACAAAGGACTTGTGTGAGAAAAATCATGGTATAGATCATGTTTCACTAGCTCTCAGGAAGCTAGGCAGCAAATTTGAATCCCCATGGTGGCCATTTTAGACTAGCCCTTGTTGATACTATTTTATTCTTGTCTATGATTCCAATTTTGCATTTTTATTATTTTGGTATAAATATGCAAGCTGACCCACAAGTGAAGTATAATACCCATATAATCACATTATATTTAGTTTTAAATCTTCAATAAATCCAATTACTTAAAAATTATATATATACTAAGTTACTTTCAAAAATGTCTCCTTGTTTTTTAAAGACCCAATTCAGGAACCCTGATCAAGCATGATTAAGAGCTGAAATGCTGAAGTGGACTAACAAGTTACTTGCACCCACCTGATTTCATGATCCACTCTATCTACCAATCTAAGAAGAAAGGTGAGTGACAGGTTTAAGACAGGGAAGTCAAAGGGATAATATTTAGACAGAATTGAGATATACCCACATAAACTCATTATTATAAATCTATGGGAAGGAGAAAGCATGTACTATAACCATTTCTTTAATTGTGGTACAAAACATAACATTTATAATGTTAATCATTTTTAAGTGTACAGTTCAGTAGTGTTATATATATTCGCATTGTTGTACAACTGATCTCCAGAACTTTTCATCTTGAAAATGTGAACTCTGTACCCATTAAACAACAACTCCCCATTTTCCCCTCCCGACAGTCCCTTGGTAAACACCATTCTACCGTTCCTATAAATTTGAATACTTTAAATGCCTTATTAAGTAGAATCACACAGTATTTGTCTTTTTGTGACTGGCTTATTTCACTTAGCATAATGTCCCCAAGGTTCATCCATGTTGTCACATGTGTCAGAATTTCTTTCCTTTTTAAAGCTGCTAATATTCCACTGTAGGTATACACCATATTTTTTTATCTATTCATCCACTGATAGACACTTAGGTTACTTCTGCCTTTTGGCTACTGTGAATAATGCTACAATGAACATGGGTGTATAAACATCTCTTCAAGTCCTGCTTTCAATTCTTCTGGATATATACCTCGAAGTGAAATTGCTAGATCATATAGTAATTATATTTTTATTTTTTGTAAAACTAAACCATTTTTACAATGAAAAAACAAGGCAAGTAATGGAACTCCAAAGTCACAAAGCAAAGAAGTCACCAGTCTTGGTCCCCTGCATGCTGGTCCTGAGCATCATGGTCCTTCCACCACACTACACTGCCTCTCTTCTACTTCAAGGCATAATCAAAGACTATAATTAACTAAACATATACTGCAACTATAAACAGAAATAATACTCTGAATTAAATGTGGGGTAGTTCAATTATCATCTTACCTATTATGCTGAAATTAATTACTGCTTCCTTGAAAAGTCTTACTGAGTCCCACAGAGCACTCTTGGGGGGGAAAAAAGTGAAATTCATGAGTACATAACACATACTTGCATACGAACAGTGTCTAAGCACTTAAATTTAAACAGAAATCAAATGTGATTACCTCAGTATTGTCTATATAAAAAGTTACACTCTGACTTCCTAGGTTGAAATCAATCCAAAATTCCTCTAATTTTTCATCTGCTGGTTTTCTCAACTGTAAGATATAATTTCAGCATAAATTATACATGTAAATATCATGTCAAAGGGTCAGATGAAACTTTTTCCATTAAGGCTCGGGCCGACTCTTGACTCTTTGAAATGTACTCTCTTCCAATAAACTTCTTTATCACCACTTTAAGAAAAAAAAACACCTTTTTTTTCCATTAAAAACAGAACTTCTGCTTTTCCTAAAACACCACCCTAATTATAGGGTGTCTCTTTATTACCTTACTCATTTCTGCAAAACAAAACATAAAAGGTCTCAATTTTATATAACTAAGCTAATTTCTGGGGAAAAAAGAAAATAACTCTATCCTCAACCATATAACAGATGTTTAAGTGTGTCAGACTTCCCATGGGTACCTTCCGAAAGGCACCACGAACAATGTCTTTGTTTTCTCCCAGACATATTCTAGGCATACATCAGGAAGTATATAGAGTTTTTATTTCTCAACAACAGCGCAAACACTAGACTTACTAACTACCACTTGCTTTTCCAATAAATAGTATTTCTTGGACATCTTTCCATCATGCATGCTTACTTTTTAACAGCTACAGAGCTGAATACATGTCTTAACTCATAATGTAAGTTACTGGAAGCCAGTGTAAGGGCTGTGATTGAAGCTGATAGAAAGGCCTTTCTAGCTGATAGGACTTTCTAGAAGTCCTAGAAAGAAGAACCAAGCAGAGATCAGACTCCTCAGACAACTAGAGGGAAAAATAGACAACTGAGATACAGGAATCAAGCTATCAAAATCAGTTCTAGAAGCAGGGACCTGTAATGTAGCCATGAGTTGCAGACTTAACACACAGAAGCCAAGAAGGAGGCTCTGAACCCAAAACAAAGAAATGGTTAATTCAGACATTCTAAAGACAGGGCCCTAGAAACCCCAAGAGTCAAGGTTCAGAGAT